AGAAGAAATAAGAGGAAAAAAAGAGTAATATGATACAACTTGATGAACTTAACCTACACCTATGGATGCAGTAGCTAAAAAGAGGGAACAAATCTTTACAGCGAGGATCACTCCCACCACCTCAATGCACAGGGTAGACAGAGATGGGCAACTTGGGCACTGGCTACTCAAAATCGGGGGCTACAAAGGCAAGAAATGACTGGCTTCCAAGCTTTCAAGAGGGAGCCTAGATTCAGAGGGTGCAGAGGAAGGCAGAATCTCCACTGAGTAGTATCTATAATTTGTCTGGGCAGGGCTGATGAAAGGATATGGGGATGGCTCTCACAGTGGCACAATAGTGAATGATTGCTATCAGGACTGTGAGGATTGGAAATGTAACGGTAGACATTTTGTAGCAAAAAGAGGGGCATGGTTGACTTTGCAGTCCAGGAGAGATGGTCCCTGGGACCATCAAGGGAGAAGAATGGAATGCAGGACCCTCCCAGAGAAGCAGAGAAGGCAGAGATGGAGACAGAGACAATGACATGGAGGAAGGGAACAGCTGAGGACTCTAGACTCAGAGAGGGAGAGGGGCTGTGTGCTGATGACCAGGGGGCAGGCTTGTAGTGTATACTCTTTGGTTGGTTGATGATGCATGGAGGGGACTGTAACCATGGCAGTGAAACAATATAGGGTAGGAGGAAATGTAAAGCTAATGTTCTCCCACATAAACTATCACATAATTCACAGTAAAACATTAAAAAGAAAGAAAGAAATCAAACAACATATTGCATTGGGCAAATCTGCCTAAGACAGCTTCAAAGTGTTAAAGAGCAAAGATGTCAGTTTGAATATTAAGATGTGCCTGACCCAAGTCATCATCTTTTCAATCACCTCATATGCATGTGAAGAGCCCTGGAAGCATATTGAATTATACACTAGGCTGCTAGCTGAAAGGTAAACAGTTCAAATCCACCAGTTGCTCCACAGGATAAAGAGACTTTCTGCCTCTGTAAAGACTGATAGCATGTGAAACCCTATACAGGGATGCTGAGTCAGAACAATGACCCCACAGCACACAACCATCACCACCATCATCATATGCATGTAAAAGCAGGATATTAAGACCTTAGAAGAATTGAGTACTTGAACTATGTTGGTGACACATATTTAAATTACCATGTACTACCAGAACAAACAAATCTGTCTTGAAAGAGAACAGCCAGATTGCTACTTAGAAGATGGTGAGATTTTGGCTCTCATTCTTTGGACATGTTGTCAGAAGGGACCAGTCTCAAAGAAGGACATCATATTTCGTAAAGTGGGGGAATCAATAAAAAAGAAGACCCCCCAACAAGATGAATCCGCACAGTGACAGCAACAGTGGGCTCAAACTAAAAGCAAATGACAGAATGGTGCAAGACCAGGAGGCATTTTGTTCTGTTATGCACAGGGTCACAGTGAGTCGGAATTGACTTGTCCGCACCTAACAATTTAGGGGACAAATAAAAAGTAAGTAGACAACCTGTTCCCAAACAGAAACCTAGGTAAATCCATTAACATTAAATTTAACAATTAAAATACAAAAACAAACCTCAGTCATTAAAATAAATTGGAACAATTCAATAACATGTATATTTATTTTAAGTCATTTTGGTACATGATACAAATTAGTTTTACAATTTTGAGTGAACTAAAATAGAAATTCCTAAATACAACAGTGTTTGTCTGTGCAACAAACATACATAAGGTAAATAAGCTATTGGCCAGAACTACAACTGCATGAACAAATCAGATGCAACCAGCTCAAGGTTTCTATGTACCTTCTGGATGTGAAATCTTAAAAAAATTATTAATGGCTCAAGATATTATTAAATTGGTAAAGGAAAGGGGAAAATGGGTCTGAAAAGGCTGTGAGTTCTGGTACAAGAACTCTTCTGTAGATCTGCAAAATCTAATCTTATGATTTTGTTAGAAGTAAAGCTCAAAATGATAGATAAAAGGCTTCAAATCAAGCTACATCATCATTACATTTGCTAATGTGTTGACATTAATGTATGGCAAAGTATTCCTATTTAGGTACTGACAAATATACCATTGTAGCTTATTTTTGTCACTTTGAAGGGAATGGAAATTCTGCAAATTTTCAAATGAGCCTGGTATTACTAAAAACTAACAACCATGGTACCATTAAAAAAAAAAAAAAAAAATTGTTTAAAGGACCTAGACTACTACTAATGGAAACACAAAAGTGTAAAATAAAACTAACCTAGCTTTCTCCCGAAACCTTTCAAGCCAGAGATTTTAAACAATTAAGGCACTTGAAAACATTAGGTTATGTACAAATGTGCAAGTAAAACAAACTTCAGCTGTACCAGCAAGTAACAAACAAACAGTATGTCTTCATTTTAACAAATTTTAATGTAACTATCTAAATGCAAGGAGCTGCAGTTTTTTACATGGACCACAGTGATTCACCATTTCGTACCATAAAACACTGAAAACCAAGTGCTAAACGCAGCCACTACAGGCAAAAGAAACTATAAGAAAAAAATATAATGACCTAGAAAAACAAAAGGCCTATTTTAAACTAATTAAATAAGCCTCTGAGCTAATCCAACCTGCCAAAAGCAGCGGATAGTTAAGTCTTTTAAGTCGTTATAAAACTGAGGGGGAAAAAAGGCAAAAAAGCCGCCCCAAATCCCCCAAAAAGAAAAAAATCAACAACTCAGAGTTTCATAAGACAACTATAGATGTACGTATATTCATTATACTTTAAGAATTTAAACCAAAAGAAGAATGGAAGGGAGGGAAAGCTAAGAGATATCATATAATAATCTGATCAACCAAAAGTCCTTACATTTTCCAAAACTACACACTGGTCACATTTTGCTGTCTGAAAACCTAAAAAGATTGTTTCATTTAAAGCGTTAGCAAATGATTCTGAAACAACGTATTTCCTTCTTGACTCATCAAAGAGATAAGTTTGGTGGAAATCCTTTCAAGGTACAACAGTGTTAGGATGTGTTTTGAAATAGAATGGAAAATATAATCAAAACCAATTTTATCTCTAATTATACTTTTGTAATAGCCATTAAAAAAATAGTTGGGAGCTTTAAAATGTGAATATTTGCATAATATTCACTAGCATAAGTAATCTAGCTCTGAAATAAAGTAGGTAAATTTTCAATTAAATATCCAATGTAAGTATGGTATCTACAAGCAGGTTCCCGACTGCTCACATCAACAGCTACATCCTCAGAGCAATCATTACTTAATGTGAAAAGCACAAAGCATAAGCATTTTAAGAGCCTAACTTTCAGTCTGTCTGTTAAGGCACTGTCCTTTATTTTCACAACGACATAAGGTGCTTTACAAGTATGAACAATAACCTGCTCTACATTAATGGTCTGTATCCTTTCCATTCTTTTCTTTAAACTTGGAATGTAATTCCCTGTGTGGCATCCTATTTCTAATGTAGAAAAAATAACTTATCAAGCAAAAAATTTTACTCTTAGGATACAGTTGAATACGACTGAATGTATAAATTTACTACATTTTGCAATGATAGCCAAAGCTCGACCTGATTGATGCTCATTTGGCACAGTCTTCTCAATTCTGGTCACTCAACTACATCCTGAGTTATGGATGTGGAAACATGACTTTCAAGGTGTTAAAGACTAAATTTCAACTGCCGGAAGAGTCCGGAGGTTACTGGAGAAGAACAATGTTTTCCATCACCTACAAAAAGTTACATTTGGCATGTCAAGAAGAGAGAACATAATCCCAACAGCAGCAGTCATTTTAATAAAAGAAGACAGCCACAAGGATTCATGCAGAATATTTTAAATATTCCTGTTGAGCAAAATAAAAACTGAATTTTCTTCAAGGATGATGCTCCAAAATATCCTATATGCATCCTTTGGAAATTTATAGCTCCTGGAACAATATCTTCCACATGGGACATCTTGAAAGATATAATTTTGGTTTCAGTGAATTACAAGAATGAACTGACAAGTCTGTGAATTTGATGTGCTTTACAGAGTGTGGTAGTTTCTTTCTTTAGATTTGCAGAATTTATAGAGAAAGAATACTACAGCCTGGAGACCCAAAACAAGGACAATTCCTCCAATGAAACTGGCTGCATCAAAGGTAGACTTCCGCGCAGGTTGTGAGGTTGGAGTCGAAGTGGAATTTGTTGTACCTGTTAGATAAGACAGAAGAAATAATCCTTAGTAAATCTTGTGATTCTCTAGCAGCCAAATTTTAAGATGTAAATTTCTACTTTGCCATTTGTTAATCTATAAAGTATTTCCTCCAGAGACAACTATTTAAAAGCTGATATTTTATAAGAAGGAAGACAACCATTTATTAATTTCATTCATTCTTCATCTTGTCCAAGGGCTTCAGCAATAGTCAATATTGCTGTTCAGAAAAAGATTCTCCTCATATGAGATTGCACTCCAGTTATATTAAAAGACACATCCACAGCTGATGACAATATCACACATGTATGTGAAATGATTCTGTCGAATAGACGAGTGACAGCGGATTATCTGGCAAATCATTTGCAAATCGGCCATGGCTCTGCCTATGAAATAATCCACGACAGACTTGGGTTTCAAAAATTTTGTGCAAGATGGGTACTGAACCAACTCACAGAAGATATAAACAAGCATTTGGATATCTGCAAACAAAATTTGGACCAATACCGAAGGAAGGAAAAATTACTTTTAAAACATCATTACTGGTAACAAGACATGGATTCATTACTGAGTCTGAGAGTAAATGGCAGAGTATGGAATAGACGCATCCTCAATCACCGACCAAAAAAAAGATCAAAAGTCAACCATCAGCTGGAAAATAGAAAATTTTAATTTTCTGGAATTCTCAAGGGCCAGTATTGGAACACTATCCGGAGAAAGGTTTAAAAACCACCAGTGCTCCTTACAGTGAGATGCTCACTGAAGAGCTGAAGCCTGGACTTTGGATTAAATACAGAGGACTGCTATCCAAGGACACTGTGATCTTGCATATGACAATGCACATCTGCACACCTCTGTCCACATTGTTGATGCTCTGCAAAAACTTCTTTTTGAGGTGTTAAAGCATCTTCCCTAAAATCCTGATCTTGCATCACTGGACTTTCACCTGTTTGATACCGTGAAAACAGCCCTTTGAGGACAAAGATTTACCTCTGATGAAGAAGTGAAGACAGTGGTGCATTCATTCATGGCTCACAGCTCAGCCTAAACCATTTTACTAATAAGGGAATATGAAAGCTTGTTGACAGATAGACAATACATTGAAAAGCAAGGAGAGCTCTGGTAGCGTAGTGGTTACGAA